ATGGTTGTAGCAGACCTGGATATGCCACATTCTCCCTCTTATGCCTTTGACAAACATCACACGAAGCCACATATTGTTCGACATCTCTCTGTATGTTTTTTCAATATACCAACTCCTTAAGTTTCTTATAGGTCACCTGCATACCTGAATGCCCCCCAATGGAGGTATCATGCCACAGTCTAATGAGCTTCAACCTCAAGTTTGGATCATTTCCTATTACCAACTTTCCTTTCCGCCTCAGTTGCTGATGCTGATAGGTGTAGTGCACATGCTGAGGGTCATTTGCAGGGGCCTGCAACTGCTGAATAATGCCTTGCAACAAGGGATCTTGAACGCAACTCTGTTGAATCTCAGCAAGCAGTGCAGATCGAATGACGGATATAGGAGCTAATATTGCTGTACTGACAGAAGGTTGTCTGGACAATGCATCAGCTATCACATTATCAACCCCTTTCCTATAGTGAAGTTCATAGTCATACCCCATAAGCTTAGCCACCCACTTCTGCTGCATAGGTGTGGATACTCTTTGCTCAATCAGATATTTAAGACTCTGGTGGTCAGTCTTAATGACAAAGTGTCTACCCAACAAGTACGGTCTCCATTTTTGAACTGCACTTACTATAGCTAGCATTTCCCTTTCATATACAGAAAGACCCTTATGCTTGGTGGCCAAAGCTTGGCTAAAGTAAGCCAAGGGTCTCCCCTTTTGACTCAGAACTGCCCCAATACCATGACCTGAGGCATCTGTCTCCACTTCAAATGTCTAAGAGAAATATGGTAGAGCCAGCACATGAGGTGAACTCATAGCCACTTTCAGTGCTAAAAATGCTGTTGTAACCTGTCCTGTCCACACAAAGCTGTTCTTTTTGAGCAAATCTGTCAAGGATCTGGCCAGCTTCCCAAAACCTTGTATGAACCTCCTATAGTACCCTGCTAATCCAAAAAACCCCCTTAACTCCTTCAGATTTGATGGTATAGGCCACTGTTGAATTGCTTGCACCTTATGAGGGTCTGCCTGCACTCCTTCTCCTGAGATTACATGCCCCAAATATGCCACTTGCGACTGAGCAAAAGAGCACTTGCTCTTTTTTACTTTCAAACTGTGCTGCCGCAGAGTTCCTAAGGTGATCTGCAAGTGTCTGATGTGGTCAGGCCAGGTTGGACTAAACACAAGAATATCATCAAAGAAAACCAGTATGAACTTCCTCAAATAAGGCCTGAATACGGTGTTCATCAAACTTTGGAATGTGGAAGGTGCGTTGATCAGCCCGAAGGGCATCACAACAAACTCATAATGCCCTTTGTGAATTCAGAAGGCAGTTTTAGCAATATCATCCGCACACATTCTTATCTGATGATAACCATATCTAAGATCCAGTTTAGTGAAGAAATGAGATCCAAATAACTCATCAATTAGTTTTTCTACCACTGGTATGGGGAACTTGTCCTTCACAGTAGCTGCATTTAGTTCCCTATAGTCAATGCACATCCTCCACGTTCCATCCTTCTTCTTGACCAATACAACTAGAGAAGAAAAGGGACTTGTACTGTGCCTGATGACTCCAGATTGTAGCATCTCCTGAATCAGCTTTTCAATCTCATTTTTCTGGAAGACAGGATATCTGTAAGGCTTTACATTCATAGGCACTGTTCCTTCCTTGAGTATAATTTGGTGATCGTAGCTTCTGTGAGGGGGGAGTTCAGAAGGTTCTTCGAAAATATCCTCAAATTGCATTAACAGTTCATTCAGCTCCCTTGCTTCAGAACCATGGCTAGGGTCTGCTACCTGTAATTCTTCCTCCAATTGGCAGAGACTGCCTGTCTGTTCCCTTGCTGGTACCTGCACAGGTATAATGAGGCACAGCTGTGCGAAAGCAATCTACTCAGGCTTCCGCAGGATCTTCTGCATGGTCCTCTTTTGCACCACTTGAATGGCTTGCGGACCCTTCCCTCTCAACACCACCTTCCTCTTTCCCTTCAGAAATTTCATTTTCAGTTCTTCAAAGTTCCACTTTATATCGCCCAATGTTGAGAGCCATTGTACCCCCAGTACTAACTTACAACCTCCCACAGATAACACCATAGCATCAGCCTTGAACGTCTGTTTGTGCATCTTTCACGTGAAATCAGGACACAATCTATTGGTGGTGATTTTGTTGCCATCTGCTACTTCCACCACAAGTGATGGTACTCCTTGCACCTTCAGACCCAGTTTGTTAACTAAATCTGGATGAACAAAATTGTGAGAGCTTCCATAGTCAATAAAAATATTTACTGAGGTCTTCCCTACATGTCCAGTCACTCGCATTGTTCTAAACTTAGGGACAGCAGTAAGAGTCATAGTGTTTAAGGAAATGTGAGCCAAATTACCCTGTGATGCTTCCCCCTCCTCCTCAGATTCTATCTCTAGCTCTTCACCATCCTCCTCTGCACACACCTCCAATCGAAACAGCTGCCTATTCTTGCACCTGTGGCCAACTCCAAACTTTTCATCACACCAGAAACAAAGACCTTTTGCTCTCTTTTCATCCATTTCACTATAGGTCAGTCTTTTGAATGGCCTCCTGGTGTATCTTTCTGGAACCTTCTCACTCCTCTCCTGGTTAGGGGTGGGCAGCAGTGCCTTATCATCCCTTCTCCAAGCGCGATCAATGTTACTCTCCTTCTTCCAAGATCTTTCAAAGTTCCTTTCTCTCCTCCACCTATCGTCCACATTAGAGTGAAAGCCAGTTTTAATCACTCCTCTCTTCTGTTGAGTCGAAATTTTTGCTTCCTCCAGTTTAGCTAGCGACTTGGCATGTTACAACGTTTTAGGCTTGAACATCCTCACAGCTAGTTGTATCTCTGTCTTCAATCCACTGATGAAGCAGCTTGTGGCATAATCTTCAGGAAGGTCTACCCTATTTAGCAGCTCTTCGAACTGCTCTTGGTATTCCAAGACTGATCCTTCTTGTTTCAAGGCCTTTAATTCCCCCATTGGATCATCATACAAACATCCTCCAAATCTTGACGCCATCTCCTTAATATATTCTTCCCAAGCAGGTAAATCTCTTGTGACTCGCGACCTTAAAAGGATTTGGTGCCACTGGAGAGCCTTTCCCTCCAAGTTCATCGCAATCAGTTTTACGCTCATATGAACTGGCGTCTCATCTACCTCAAAAAATTGTTCGATCTTAAACAACCACCCTTGGAAGCCTTCTCCATGGAATCTAGGAAATTCCAGATGAGAAAAATGCGTAGGGGCTTGGTAACTCCTCCCCTGAGATACCTCATTTTCAGAAGGTGAGTTCCTTGCAGATTGTCCTCTTTGAGAGTACAGCTCTCCAAGTTCCGGAGAGCTGCCATCTCCTGTTCAAATTGCTCTTTCTGTTCCTTCATCATAGCCTTCACGCTCTCTTCGAACCTTCGGTTATCCTGAGATCTAGTACCCTCCGCCATTGCTGTATGAGCTGGTCTGTCCCCCAGCTCTGATACCACTGATGCGAAGGGCAGTGGAGATCATAGGAAAATTCTCTCAAACAGGAGTTGCAAATTGGAGAAGACAACTCGAGGAAGAGAGATAGTATTATTGCAGAGATGAGAATAGGGAATTGAAATGAATACAATTGAATTAGACTGATCAGACTACCCGTACCTCTCATCCCCCTAGCCCCTTTTATATACTCACCTGCCACCACCTTCTATTTTAGTACTAATTCTATTTCAGTAATCAGCCTCCTGCACAAGCTTTCCATTTCTGCACGAGCTTTCCCTTTCCAGCTACTTAACTAACTAACAGGATGGCTAATGTGGCGCAACTAACTCAACCAACCATCTGATATAGCATAACAACTTCCTAGCAGTAATAAACTCCAGCTGACAACAACCGGCAGAATTATTCTAGACATAACATTCTGTTTTCTAGGCAAAGACAGCAAAGGAAGTCTCCGCGCCGCAGAGGTATTGTATATGATATTCATTCTCTAGAACAGTGAAAACAAATTATCAACTGGTACCATCAACCTCCTGTTTTGCTCTAATGGCAGTCAGGCGAACTGATGCATGTATTAATATTCTAGTCTTCTACTCTCTAAACTTGAAAAACTCTTCCTCCCATGAGTGGGAAGAGAAGGAAGGAAAAGAAACTACAGGCTGTTAATCTTTGTGTTATTCTATAACCATTTTGTCCGTCGACATGTTACATGCTGATACTCGTTAAAATTAAGCTTAGTAGACTCAAAGGAAAATACAATTTAGTGAAGTCAGTGTCATAGACTTACTCTAGGGGATAGTCTAACGGAATCCGAGAAATTTGATGGGATTGAATTACTACTAGATCAGATGATGCATTATATACTCCTATAAATTTAGAGCAAGTCCTGTATTGATAAAAGGTAAAGTTTTAACTTTTAATTGATAAAAGGTAAAGTTTTAATTTTTGGTCTCACATTCCATGTTAACATTTCACAATTAATGTGGTCGCTGCTAAAGGCCTAGTCAGAGTCAAGAGGGCACATATGTAGGATGACTGCGCACAAAATCTTTTCTTTTAATTTCACGTCGACTCCGAAATACTCCCTCCGTTCCACTTTGATAGTCCTGTATTCCTTTTTCATCTGTCCCAAATTGTAGTCCACTTTCCAATTGAAGAATGTAGTTGTATTTTAATTTTTCTAAAATACTATTATTCAATGTAAGTAGTTGTTACTATAAACTTACCCTATTTAATGAGAGTTGATTCTTTTTTTACCATCAATTCAAGTTCCCATAAAGTTGTACCATATTTAATGTGAGGGTATTTTAGAAAAATAACAATCTAAATTTACTTTTTCAACAAAGTTAACTACTTTTTCTTAAACTGTGTGAAAAAAGAAACAGGACTATCAAAATGGGACGAAGGGAGTAAAAGATGAATCCTATCTTTTCCATTTTCAGACTCTCAGCGAGATGAAAACAATTTATTTAGTGTGTCTTTCCCATTCTTTCCTTTTTCTGTATTTTCTCTTTTATTAGTGTCTCTCTCTCTCCTAAACTCGCAAACCAGGGAGAAAGATTACCGGACATACCGGTTAACATGTTGATCCCCAGTCGGTCACCGGCCATCTTCCTCATCAGCGATTCCGCCAAGTTCTTTCCTCAGTTGTCTGAAGTCGAAGGCCCTATATACCACCGAGGCTGAGGTTTAAGTTTTCGGGGCCCCGAAATTTTAGCCTGAACGCGGCATTGTATTAGGTTCTTCTTCTCTGGCCATAAAAATAACTTCTTTATTGTAGCTTCCGCGCTTCCTATTTGTCTCTGGCCCAGGTCTCCAACTGAGCTGCCACTTTTGCATGAAGTCGCACACCTTACGGGAAATTAAAGCCTAACGATGCCTAAGGTTGGGTTCTGATTTACTACTATGTTTCCCAATTTATAATTAGTAATAATTGATTAATTCTCATGGACCAGCATAACGAGTTGCTACTCTTGCCAAGTTTCTCAGAATCAAGAGCAGGCATCTTCTGGATTATTTATTTGGACTAGATTGTTGGTGTATTCGGCTTGATTTTTAATGGCTATCTCCGTTAGGGTAAGCAGTGAAAGTCTATTTGTCAAAACTGTGTGCGCCATTGTGGTGAAGGGTCACTGGGACGATATTTTGAAGCCCAAGATTGGTTCTTTTGTGTCTTCAAGTACGATCAATCAGGCACTTATTAGCCTTTCGTCATATGGGTTTTCTCTTTCTTGGTCATTTTATAAATGGGTTGAAACCATTCCCGATTACAACCATTCTTTACAGTCTTGTTGGACAATGATTTGTGTGTTAACTAAGCAAAAGCATTTCAAGTCTGCACATGCTATGCTTGAAAGGATTGCGCTTAAAGATTTTTTGTCATCGCCAACGGTGTTGAATGCTCTTGTGAGCGGTTGTGACAGTCCAGATGTGAATTCTCATGTTTTGAGTTGGTTGGTGATATTTTATGCTAATTCTAAAAAGACACAGGATGCCGTTCAAGTGTTTGAGCACATGAGGCTATGTGGGTTTAAACCTCATTTGCATGCTTGTACTGTCCTGTTGAACTCTTTGGTCAAGGATAGATTATGTGATACAGTGTGGAAATTATACAGGAAGATCATAAAAGCTGGGGTCGTTCCAAACCTGCATATATACAATGTGTTGATTCATGCTTGTTGCAAGTCCGGGGACGTGGAGAAAGCAGAAGAGTTATTGAGAGAAATGGAGTTTAAGGCTGTATTTCCTGATCTAATAACGTATAATACGTTAATCTCTTTGTACTGCAAAAAGGGCATGCATCATGAGGCTTTGTGCGTGCAGGATAGGATGAAATCTGGGGGTGTTTGTCCAGATATCTTTACCTATAATTCTCTCATTTACAGTTATTGCCGGGAAAGTAGAATGAGGGAGGCTCACAGGCTTTTTAAGGAAATTAAAGGGGTTACACCAAACCAGGTTACATACACTACCTTGATCAATGGATATTGCAGAGTGAATGATCTTGATCAAGCTTTACAATTGCGTGATACCATGGAGGCTAAGGGGTTGTATCCTGGTGTTGTGACTTATAATTCAATTCTTCGCAAACTGTGTGAAGACAGTCGGATAAAGGACGCAAATAGACTGTTGAATGAGATGAATGGGAAAAAGGTTGAACCTGATAACATCACATGTAATACTTTGATAAATGCCTATTGCAAAATTGGAGATATGAGGTCTGCTTTGATGGTTAGAAGTAAGATGTTAGGGGCTGGATTGAAACCTGACTCTTTTACTTTTAAGGCATTAATTCATGGGTATTGCAAAGTGAAGGATGTAAATGGCGCTAAAGATATATTATTCGAGATGCTTGCTGCAGGACTGTCTCCTAGTTATTGCATGTTCTCTTGGCTTGTAGATTTTTACTGCAACCAAGATGATGAAAAAGCAATAATAAAATTGCCAGATGAACTTTCAGGGAGAGGTCTTTGTATTGACATCTCTGTATACAGGGCACTTATACGACGCCTGTGTAAGCGGGAAAAGGTTGATTGCGCCGAGAAAGTTTTTATCACTATGAATGAGAAGGGAATATCAGGAGATAGTGTGGTATACACTAGTCTGGCTTATGCTTACTTTAAAGAGGGAAACATGGTCGCATTTTCAAGTTTGTCACATGAGATGTATAGGAGACGGTTGATGGTAACTCTCAAAATCTACAAAAGCTTTAGTGCTTCTTTTGCTAATGACGGAAGCTGCCTAAATACCTTTTGGGACAATTTGGTCCATAGAGGCTTAATTTCTAAAACTACTCAAATTCACATTCAAGAGTTGAAAATAAATGAGGGTTGACAAACTTCTAAATTTGTATTTTCAAGCTAGCCACACTACATGGGTAGTTCAGTGTGGTTCGCCTTCATATGCACCAGGACGTTGAACAAAGGATGTAAGTTGCTGAGCATCAACTTCTGTTGCTTTTAGAGACCATATATGTGGCAATTTAATCCCTTTGGCAGGTCCTGATGGTTATGGTACTGCTTAATTTCCCAAGAATAATCTTCATTGCAGGTTAGAAAGTTATTTCCACTCACACTATTATAGTAATGCTAGAAGGAAACGCTTTCCTTGGCATAGCATTTTTAATAGCTGAACACTTATTTTCTGTTTAAGATGCATATCTTGTTATTCTGATGATGCACTGTCACAGTTTATAGATTTTATCACCTCCAAAGTTCCACTTTGTCCTTCATTTTGATCAGGAAAGAGCAATTTGAAACTGTACTTATTTGCTTTATTCATGATATGCCTTAAGATTGCATTACAAAAATACGTCTGCTTTGTTTTTGGTTTGGCTTGGACTTTTGTGTGCTTCTTTCTTTGATATTTTTGCAAAATGGTGGCAGTTCTCTTTTAGTTGGCAATACATAGACAAACACAAATGGACTTATATGTACATGTATGTTTGTTTGTATATGTCTTCATGGGTATGTGTGTGCTTGTGTATATACATACATATTTTGTTAAGATGAACAATGTAAAAAGTAGACAGTTGAAATATTAGAATAATCTGTATGCGTGTCTATTATTCATATTCCTGCATTTCATGCGCTAAAAGGCACCTCCTTGGACTGTGGATATAGATTTTCAGGCACACTCAAAGAACTGGAATCTCAAGTTTCTTGATGCAAATTTGAAGAATGCCTGGTCTGGTTGATTAAGGAGCACTATCTTTAGAACAGAATAATCTCCTATCCAAACACCCTCAATGTTATCTAGTGAATTTGGTTACTGTATTTATCAGATGAAAGAATAAAAAGAGTATCAATTTTTTTTCTTTAAAACAATTTAACAACATCAAGTTGATCTTGCTATATTACCTGATTTTGAGGTTTATATTCTTATTTAATTGACTTTTTTCTGCTTCATATTTTTGGTTGCGACAGCTTAAATTCGAAGAATTTTGAAACAACAAAGTAAAACAATACAGAAAGAAAATTTAAATAATTTAATTTTTGACAATTGTGGGAAAATTGTTACAGATTGTCAAAGTTGGTATGAAAAGATTTCCTTGCTTATTGTGATATGTTGCTTTATCTAGTTTGCTAATATCAGGGTAAATATGTCTCAGGATTTAACAAGTGGGCTCTTTGTCTAAGCAACACGGCTTTTGTTCTGCATAAAGCTTATTTACGCTGGGTCTGAAATTATTTACAGGAAATTCAGATGGATCAGACCCTAAGGGGATAATCTTTTAGTCATTTTATGAATTTGACCATGGAGGAGCTTCATAAAAGCAGGTAACAAATTATGCATGCTTACGTTGTTGTCCAAACACTTGCACTGAATTGGATTCTTTAAGAAAGTGAGGCTGTGGTTGCCTCAGGATAAGTTGAAACTCCGAGTTTCCTGTCTAGCTTTTGCGGTGTGTGGCTTTCTGACATGTCGATGTGCATCTTAGCTGAATATATGTTATTACTAAAGGTATGTGCGCTAATCAAGAGTTGAAATTATCTGTCATTTGGAGTATATAGTCATTTGATAGGCCTTAAAGTGGAGTACTGCTAAATAATGTCCTCCTAAGGATCTGTCTCGTCTTTTGTGTAGATAGTGTTTTGTTTTGTTACATGGTAAGAACTGCCCCCTTCCTGTCCATGTCTTGTTGCTACTCGTGTTAGGGAGAGAAATTTTTCTAATATGGCATGTAGTTATCAAAATGGATGTTCTTTACTTGTCTCCTTTTAGCAATGAAACAACGGTTTTCAATAGCCACGTAGATGGTACATATGATCTTTTTCTTGCTTTGAGACTTGGAAGCTATGAATAACCAGGTATTGTGCATTTATTTTCCAGCAAACTAGCATATGCAATAGGCTGATCCAGGACGATCACAATGGCTGATCATGCTTTCTAAAATTTAATACATATGTATTGGCTTGATCTATGATTCCAAAAGAGAAACAGTTTACTTCATTGTTTGAGTATGGGTTGCTGGTATATTTCCTCTCTTAAACCAGCAAGAGTTGATTTATTTTGTGGGGAGGGGGGTGTTTTGTATGGATAGGAGGAAAATGCCTTTGAAAATTGGAAATTGCATCTTGGAAACAACTCAATAAAACTTTTTGGTTTAAATTTCTAGTAAGCACGACTAGCTTGGGAGTTCTTTTTTTTGGGTTGGGGGGGGGGGTGGGTTGGGTGGTTTGAGGGGAGGGAGTGTAAGTAAGAGGTCTCGGATTCGAGTCCTCCCACTTCAAAAAAAAAAAAAAATAGCTTGGGAGTTTTAGAAGCAATAGTTTAATCATTGAATGCACAGAATTGTTCAAATTTTCTTTCGACATGCTTGTGTGATTGGCATTGGCGGGTCTGAAAGTGATCCATTGACTATGCGACTAGCAATCCAATTATTTGCAGCCTGAGAATAGTGTACTCCGTCCCAGCTGATTATTGCAGAAGGTTTTGCGCAAGAACCTGCATATACTTCACTACCATTTATAGTTGCTTTCTTACTGCACCAGACATCAAAATCGATTCCATGAAGTCCACAGCAGATTTTGAAAGGGTTCTCAAATCCTGTAAATGGAAAATTTAGTGGTGTAATTAGGACATTAAGTGGTTCTTGAATTAATGTGTAAATTTTAATTTCAAACTACTCTGAAAACTTTGGCATTTAAAAATGGCTTCCGAGGAGCAGTCAAATTATATTCTCTGGGAATAACACATTGTCTATTCAGTCACAGAGTGTGTCTATTAGCAATAAAGAACATAGTAAATACAGCACATGGTTTCTGTTGGAACTTTGATGCCTTATATTTTAAATTTAGCCAACTGTTTTCTTTTCTTAATTAATATTTACATGTTTAATCTGCTATCATAGGGAAAAAAAAAAAGAAAAAAAAATAAATACTGAAGCAATATTGTCTAGTTTGGTGATTTATTTATGATTCTGGAGTGACTGTTCATTGACACTGGTTTGATAATAAAGTACCTTCTTCTTTTGCATTCTATCATAGGGAAAAAAAAAGAAAAAAAATTAAATACTGAAGCAATATTGTCTAGTTTGGTGATTTATTTATGATTCTGAAGTGACTGTTCATTGACACTGGTTTGATAATAAAGTACCTTGTTCTTTTGCATTCCTGATTAAGTCGTACTTTGCCCTGTACATATCTACATAGGTTATTGTAGCTTCTGAAAGCTCTGCCCTGAGTTGGATAATTGAATGCTTGAGCTTTTTATTAAACTTCACAGCCATATGATTCTGACTCGTTTTACAGCCATGGTCATCAAGATATCCGGGCTCTGGATTTTGGACTTTGATAGTGGCCACTGAAAGCAACCAATGGGACCTGTATTGTGTATCCAGAATACTCTTGCTTCTTCTGAATACAAGTCCTGCCAGATATAGCTGTCATCAAGTATCTTGTAGCAGTGATGAATAGATCATTTGTTTGTTATGCAGTTGATTGTCACTTCTAATCATTGAATGATCTGTAGAACTCACTCAGATTTGTTTAGAAAACTGGCTGATTATATCAGGAATAGTGGCTCAAAGCTCTTCCATGCTCATTGTTTGGAAACCGGCAGCTGTATCAATTTGACCTATGTCAAATGTGTAAAGAGCCTTTGAGAAGTCTTGTGGTCTAGGGAGCCTGTTTACATCAGATGCTATCTTGGCGGCAAAATTTGAGAAGATTCATCTCAATCATCAAGCTTAGGATGCATATATAATATTACCAGCGTATATTGGTTTTGAGTTCGGGATTTCTTCTACCTTGATTGTAGAAGTAAGCTGTTCGTGCTTTGAACTGGGGGTAGTGTTCGACTTGAATATCCAGAGGAAACGGGCTTACACCTGTCTGAAACCATGATTCGTTCTGCCGCCGAATGGTGGCCCCTCCAGTTGCAAAGTTTGCTCCATGCCGGAAACTGGTTCCTACTGAATCCAGGTATGGACTTAGCAACGGTAATGCCAGGTGCTCAGCTGAGTTTAGAGGAGCAAACATTAGTTGAAGCATTCCTTATTACAACTAAAGGAGATAAAGGACCAAAGCCCCCATTAGCAAAACAAAGATAAGATGGGTAGTGATCAGGTTTGAGGTCTCAGAAATGTTACCAATGACGTCTATAATTAGGCGGCCATCAAAACCCCTACCAGCAAGTCTGTGGATGTACGTCTCACCACAAGGTGCTATCATTGGAAAAAATGCTGCTGCCATTCCTCCTGTATCTGAATTAGAATCACCGAAGTTGTAAAGTGCCGAGTAGTCACGGGACTGTAAATCCACCACCTTTTTTGTTGTTTCTGCTGTCAATCCACATGAGAAAACTATAACCACTAAGAACACAGCTCTTAGAGGCTCCATTTTTTTTCTTGCCTAATAGCTGAAATTATGTGCTGAATGCTCGGGTTTCACATTTGCAGAGCTTGGTTGTATATTTATGAATCATGATGCTTGTCGCATCTGTTGGTGTTAGTTTATTTGTAGTTTCTGAGAAGAGGACTAACAGACAATGAAGACTAAAGCAGTAATAACGTCCTAAACATCTTTTCTAACTGATGGAAAAGCATCTTGAGCATTTCACCGTATTTAGGATTCGGCAATTAGTTGATTGAATTGGGAGTATAACGTAGAGTATACAATTGATTTCGCAAAACATGGAGCTTATTTATATTCTTTTCATCTACTTAATTTCTCGCCAAACACGATGCCAAGTAGTTAATAAACTAGGGGTTAAGACATGATATGTTTGATCCTTATTCCGGACGCAAAAGTATGCACAGAGGATCCCAACCTCACTGTCAACATTCCCACAACGTTGTACTTGTAGTAAACATTCATCTGTCAAATCCGAACCTCATTGTACGATTATTTGTCATTCTTTTTGGAAAAAAAGAAAGGATAAAAAGAACTATTGCTACCATCAAGAATTTTATCAATGTTGTTTTGGATTTTTGCTCACCAAATGATGCTGGGAAAATACGAATACGATCTTGTGAAATCATTAGGGTACTAACTACTAATATAGTTGGAGCATGTGGTTTTGCTTTGTAAAATGCATCCTAATACCTCTATTTTTAAACTCGGACCGGACCGGGCGGTCCGACCAGTTGTTTCGCTATATTATTGTAAAAATAATATCAAATGGTCTAGGATTAGGCAGCTTTCATTAGTCTGTTTTTCTTATTTATTTGGGAAACGTTTCACCTACTCGAGCAAGTAAAAGTTGTAAGAAATTCTACCTAAAAATTGAAGCTGCTAAAATAATAAATGCACATAAATGTTACTGTCAAAGAAGAGGAAACCCATAAAAAAAAATGAAGTTTGCAGCATGTGAATGGATCAAGATAATTGGTAAAAAAAAGGCTGATTGGATTGTGTTTCATCACAAGGAAAATGAGCGATTTAAGTTTTAAATTTCTCTATGCAATTGCAAAAATTTAAAATTTTTTTTCCGCAACGAAAATAATTTATCCTACTTCTGTACTAATCTACGCTATGAAGAAGGGGAATGATGCGAGATTTGAACCCGGACTTGGTGAATGGGAGATGCTCCCTCCCTATGCGTGGAGATTGGATGCCAACATACCATAAAATGAGTGGATGGGGTAAATGTACAAAAGTAATTCTTCTGGAAGGGCTCCCGCAAATGCTGTCCACTTATCCTAAAATTTGAATGACTAGCAGTTATTCCCTAGTCTAAAGGCCGAAAGATGTGTTAGCCATGGCCATGCCAATAGTTGCCACGTTGCCTGCTTTTCTATTACGCGTGTCCACCCTATATCGGCTTGATCTCCTCTATAAATGGCTCATTATCTTACTTCTGTTAATCCCCATTATCAATTACTAATACGTGTTTGTATTAACCGCTGGTAGCAGTTCCCTAATTACCTCATCTTACATTATTAGCACAGTACTAAAAAAAACCATATTAATTGCTAGAGTATGGATAATTCACAAAACGCAAGTTACCAAGCCGGTCAGGCCAAGGGCCAAATGCAGGTGATTATCACTGCACCTGCTTAACTTTAATTATCTTACCAGTGATATAATTTGTGATTACTAGGAGTGGATCAATCACTCGTGTGTATCATGTTGATTTCAGGAAAAGGGAAGCCAAATGATGGATAAGGCAAGCAATGCGGCTCAATCAGCTAAGGAATCCATGCAAGAGGTTCTTCCTTACTTTTCTGATTATTAATTTTTTCCAGACCTATTTACTACTCTCACAATACATACATGCAATATATTTCTTGTTGTATTTTTTCTAGGAAAAAAAAGAAAAAAGAAAAAAGGAAGTTTGTTACTTGGGGTTATGGTAAAATTATCTGGAGTGTGTTGTGTGTATGCAGGCAGGGCAGCAAGCGAAGGCCACGGCTCAAGGAGCAGTCGATACTGTTAAAAATGCGACGGGGATGAACAAATGAAGAGGGTGCAGCAGTTTCAGCACATCTGCTTTCATGCACGATTAATCCCAAATTTCTCTTGGTTGGAGTTGGACCTCTCTTTCACATTTTTTGTCTTCGTCTGCTTTCTGCGCACTTTTTTGGCAATTCCCTTTTTCTTGTAGATGTTCATCCTTTTGTTAGTTTTCCATCTGTAAAAGAAAAGGGAAAAAAGGGAGGGTCTGTACCTGTAATCATGCATGGGCTTCACGACTTGATCTAATAAAATTCCAGTATTTCTTCTTGGTTCTACAACAAGATGTGATTTTGTCCAACTTTTTTTCAGTTTGACTCAACGCCGCCAAACAGCATAACCACTTTCTTTTCTTCTGGTAGTGAATAAAAGTACTCGAATCCTATTTTTATATCCATTGAAATTCTTCAGATTTTTGTGGGATTTTGAGGGAGGGCAGCCAAAAGCCTTTGGAAGATGGGGGAAGGAGAAAAGTTGTTCGTCTCAAAGCAATCAAAGATAAAACTATAATGAATATTTAGGCACGTCAATTTATGGAGCTTTGGCCTATACCAATTTGCTGTTTGCTATCCTTGCCTGCATAATGCATATATCATTCTTTTAACTAAACAAATCATCCATCGCAGATGCACAACTGAGCTAAGAAGTACCATGCATCCCAACCAAAAGAATTCGACGACTGTTAATTATAGGAAAATTTAGGCTTAAATACATATCACAATTTGGGAGGAATTAATTACCTCCGAGAACCAACTACCAGTCATTTGGACTGGTGGCCACCACAAAAAATTTTAAGTCTTAATGGGTGAGAGGTCAAAGGTTCAAAAAAAATTACCAACAAGAACTAAATAGTAGCTGGGAAGTACTTGAAGTAACTAAGTTAGGCAACACAAATTATTAAAAATAAAAAGTTCTATTAAATTATTCTTTTGAGCACTTCCAAATTTGAAAAATTCTACTTCCAATTGGGTAGAGGGAAAAATTTGTAAAAATATTACCAATGTTTTTAATATTAACGGCACATGTGTTGAACAATTTTCGACTTCCAAGTTCCTAGTCTAGATTGCATTTTAACTTTTAAGCATCCTCCATCTCAAGTCTTAAATCATTTTCATAATAGACTCATTTTTTTCCTTGAACGTTCCTCTAATATACCTCAAACAAGATGAGCAAATCCCAAACTCATCATTTGATTTCCAAATTAAAAAAAAAAAAACCTAATTACTTGATTTTAGGTTGCAAAAAATGCATCAACTTATAATTTTTTTGCACTCCACAAAAGTAGTGTTCTTAATATACTCATTAGTTGAAGCATTCCTTATTACAACTAAAGGAGATAAAGAACCAAAGCCCCCATCAGCAAAACAAAGATAAGATGGGTAGTAATCAGGTTTGAGGTCTCAGAAATGTCACCAATGAAGTCTATAATCAGGCGGCCATCAGATCCCCTACCAGTAGGTCTGCGGAAGTACGTCTCACCACAAGGTGCTATCATTGGAGAAAATGCTGCTGCTATTCCTCATGTATCTGAATTAATATCACCAAAGCTGTAAAGCGCCAAGTAGTCACAGGACTGTAAATCCACCACCTTTTTGTTTGTTTCTGTTGTCGATCCACCTGATAAAACTATAACCACTAAGAACATAGCTCTTAGAGACTCCATTTTTTTCCTTGCCTAGTAGCTGAAATTATGCGCTAGATGCTCGGGTTTCATATTTGCAGAGCTTGGTTATATATTTATAAATCATGATGGTTGTCGCATCTGCTGGTGTTAATTTATTTGTAGTTTCTGAGAAGAGGACTAACAGGCAATGAAGAGTAGAGCAATAAGAACATCTTGAACATCTTTTCTAACTGATGGAAAAGCATCTTGAGCATTTCACCGTATTTAGTATCCAACAATTAGTTGATTGAATTGGGAGTATAACATAGAGTATATAATTGATTCCCGCAATACATGGAGCTTATTTATATTCTTTTGACCTGCTTAATTTCTCGACAAAAGCGATGCCAAGTAGTTAATAAACTAGGGGTTAAGACATGATATGTTTAATCCTTATTCTGGACGCAAAAGTATGCGCAGAGAATCCCAACCTCACTGTCAACGTTCCCACAACGTTGTACTTGTAGTAAACATTCACCTGAAAAATCCAAACCTCATTATACAATTATTTGTCTTTCTTTTGGGAAAAAAAGAAAGGATAAAAAAAGCTATTGCATACCATCAAGAATTTTATCATTGTTGTTTTGGATTTTTGCTCACTAAATGATGTTGGGAAAATACGAATACGATCTTGTGAAATTATTAGGGTACTAGCTACTAATACAGTTGGAGCATGTGGTTTTGCTTTATAAAATGCACCCTAATACATATATCAGGATAGAAGACAAGTCATTTGTGCAATGCTAGGTTTTGTTTCGCTATATTATTGTAAAAATAATATCAAATGGTCTAGGATTAGACAGCTTTCATTAGTCTGTTTTTCTTATTTATTTGGGAAACGTTTCACCTACCACTATTGGGCAACAAAAGTTAACACTCGAGCAAGTAAAAGTTGTAAGAAATTCTACCTAAAAATTGAAGCTGCTAAAATAATAAATGCACATAAATGTTACTGTCAAAGAAGAGGAAACCCAAAAAAAAAAATGAAGTTTGCAGCATGTGAATGGATCAAGATAATTGGTAAAAAAAAGGCTGATTGGATTGTGTTTCATCACAAGGAAAATGAGCGATTTAAGTTTTAAATTTCTCTATGCAATTGCAAAAATTTAAAATTTTTTTTCCGCAACGAAAATAATTTATCCTACTTCTGTACTAATCTACGCTATGAAGAAGGGGAATGATGCGAGATTTGAACCCGGACTTGGCGAATGGGAGATGCTCCCTCCCTATGCGTGGAGATTGGATGCCAACATACCATAAAATGAGTGGATGGGGTAAATGTACAAAAGTAATTCTTCTGGAAGGGCTCCCGCAAATGCTGTCCACTTATCCTAAAATTTGAATGACTAGCAGTTATTCCCTAGTCTAAAGGCCGAAAGATGTGTTAGCCAT